AATCGGCGAACCTAGCATACACGTAACCGCCAAGATCATTTACGTACGTACGTACGTACGGAATTTAAATACATATAATTTAATATAATAAAACTTTTCATAACAAAATCACTTGAAAATTCGTAACAATTATATATTTACGTAAATGATTTTGGTGGTTATTCTAAAGGGGTTTGGTTTGATCAGCATACTGAATAACATATATTTACTGCACATATTTATTATCCGTAACACACTACGTATGTATACATCATTCTCACACTATACGCACGCATATTAGTATATGAGCATAATACGCATGGTGCCCATCTCTACAGATTAGTGATGGGCAAATTAGCCTTTTTTGCTGCTAATGCAGGCCATAATTATGAAATTCCGCATGGACCATCTCTGCTACAGATGATACTAAAATTTCATATCGGAGGATTTGCAGTCTAATAAATAAGAACCGTACAAATCCGCAGTCTTGATTTGAAATATACTAAATCTACATAACGATAATTAATATGAACTCTAACCCTAAACTGTAACCCAACTCTAAACAAATAAGTTCAAATTTCATCATAATTCCGACAATAATATGTCATCATCTATTCCGGCAATAATATGTTAAATAAATCTGTAAATTACAAGATTCATTAAATCCGTCATCCATTTATCCGTATCTGAATTATCCAAATAATCCAGATCGGATAAACAGATCTGATATCCGGATAATTCGGATAATTATTCGAATATCAATAGTAAACGGATATCCAGATAAATTTAGGCCGGATACTTTGGATAACAGATAACGGATATATGATAATTATCCGAATAAACGCTTAATGGATTGTAACTCTAAAAACTATTAAAATAAGGAGTTTTTGAAAAATTTGGTCAGCGGGCAATGCAAAACGAAAATTTTAACTTTTGTGGCCTTAATCACCTGATCTTAAATTACATATTAAATCTACTATGCCGAATCACCAACTTAAATTGAATCCGCAAAAAAATCATTTGGCTAATCTTATCAAGTGACTCAAAGTTTATGATAACAACTATAAACGACTTGGGTGATGACTTTTTCAATTGATTCGTTTTCAGTTCAATTTTCACTCGGGTGAATAATAGTTCACCCGTTTGGTGACCTGGTGGATGAATTTTTGTATTTGACCTGGCTTCCACCCGGGGTGACTTACGGCCCATCCGTTGGGTGACTCAGGTGGAAATCTTTTAGACGGGTCCAAGCACTAGTTATGAGAAACAAAAAATTTTTTTGTGTGGCCTGCAAAATTACTATTCCTGATGGATTGACAGTACCAATCTTGATGGAATTAAAAAAAAATTCATTTGAATACTATCCCTTACAGGCAGGGTTGGCAATGGAGCCAATGGACCTCAATGGTTACACGAATTGACTAGTATCTATTGACTTCATTCAGTGATCCATTGGTCCATTTGTAGGTCCATTTGGTCCTATAAGTTTTTGTTATTAACCATATAAGAACCTTTATTGCCTTTTTGTTAACGCTTCGGATGTACAGTACGTACTAACACTTCAAAGTGTTATCGTTACATTAGATACACGTACGTACTCATGTAGTTTCTTTTTTGCCCCCACTTACGTCTTTCACCTGCTCCTTGTTCTTTCAACCCCTTATAATTTCTGCGGTATAAATTTGAAAAGCAGAACATTCTTTTCGAACAATGCATATAAATACTAAATCTTATCACTAAATCTTTGTTAATTGGACGGGATTTAGAGAAACTTCCCGGAATAGGAATTACCCACATCAATGCATTATCAATGCATTATCAGTGCATTATCAATGCATTATCAGTGCATTATCAATGCATTGTCAGAATACGTAATAACAATAAATGATTCATTTTTATTAATATGAAGATTTGCATATTTACATTTTACGTACTTACATACATATTATCGTAAACTGCCGTATAAAAGACCCCACGCATCAGACTTCCTATGTATTATACCTGGGTGATAAAGTTTGGTAAAATGTAAAAGACCCAGGATATACAAATACTAACGATCAGCAATTCAACTATCATTAACCCTCCTAATTATCATAATTATCAGACCCGTACCCATACAAGAGACCCATGGGTCTAACAATAGGTTTTAAAATTGGTGAAATGTACTAGACCCGGGTCTTTTATACGGCAATTTACGGTAAATAGAATCAAGGTTAGCAACCTTTTTTTCTAAATGAGACAGTTATGTACGTAAGTACATATGTACATACGTCAGCCGACTAGAGTTCCAATTCGGATAAATCTGTTACAGTATCCATTTATCCGTATCTGAATTATCCAAATGAACGGATCAGTTATCCGGATAATCCGACCAATATTCGAATAATACGGATATCCGGATAAATTCAGATCGGATCCTTCGAATAGCGGATATCCGATAATTACTCGGATAAATACTTAATGGATTGGAACTCTACAGCCGACAATGTCTGACATGCATATATGCTTGAGAAAAAACCTCATTACTTTCGTATAAATAAAATAAACTTGCATGTTAGATGTTATAACCAAAAGTTTTTCCACATATAGATGGTTCAATAATTAAAAGCATGCATAACTTATATTAACTTTTAACTTTTATTAGAATTCGCAATTAAAAGTGTAATTCAGGAGTACATTTTACGAATATTATGCCATTGGATAATAAGATAAAAACGCATCGCATTGCATATATAATAATCATTTAATATTTGTATTAATACTGTATTAATACTGTAATAATACGAAATCGTTTTCGTTAATAATAACTAATTTCTATTGAGAAATTCTTTTAAGGTTAATCTGAGATTACTTAAATAATATGCAAAATTTTCTCTAATTTTAAAATTTCTTTGTATTCTGTAAGCCAGATAAATACGATCGCTCATAATATATTTCGGCACCAATTACCATCTATATTATGTTTAACAACTTGAAAATCACCTGAAGGCTTTAATTTGCCTGCTTGCCTAAATGAACTTCATTTTATGCACATCATGAATTAATCATTTGCCTAATTTGTTGATTATTATCCTTTAAACAAACAAATACTCTCTTTAGAAAATGTTGTCATGTATAAAAATTAACATATGGTATGCACGATAAAACAAAATATAAATTGGCATTAAAAAGGTTTTTTTTTTTGTTTTTACGTCTTGAATTTTTAAGATTATTTTTTGCATAACTATAAAATACAAGATACTTATTATTGTCATTTTTTATATAAAATAATAAGACAACCTTGGTTCTCAACTTTGGGCTCGATCTATCTTTAAATCGAAGGTATTCAAATTTTTAACCTTAACTTTTATTTCGAAAGATTCTTTTTCTTTAATTTTTTGACCATCGGTAGGACGAATGATAAGAGAGGAGACCATGTTCAAATTGGATGGGATTTGTCCTTGAATTAAACTGGAACAAAATCCATCATCATTTTTACCGGTTTTAATTTGAGTACCATTAGCCTTTATCTTTGAGTGTTTGCAGCTTCCTAAGAATTTTTCAGTTGCGGAAACGGTTAAAGCTTCAAAAGAGAGCAAAGCGATGATAATGGCAGAAATAGCGGTAACGAATGATGACTTCATGTTTAATAGAAGTTCAAGAAATCTCGAGAGGTAATTGAGATCTGGAAAAAGGTCGAGAAAGAGGAATGATAGAATAAGAGGTGAAAAAAGATGAAGAGAAGTAAAAAAGAAGAAGAGAAGTAAAAAAGAAGAAGAGAAGATAAGAAGAGAAGAGGAGGAAGAAATTATTAATAATTCTGAATACCTTCGATTTAAAGATAGATCG